GTCCTGGAACTCGCTCTTGTAGACCAGGCTGGTCTTGAACTCACAGAGAGCACGTTGCTCTTAAGCCCTGTTGAACTCATGAGGATATTTCCCTTTAAAACTTACCTCAATTTTCTCGTTGGACTCTTGACTTCAACTAGTTTCTACATGTGGAGCTAGTTAAAGGGTGCAGCAGGTACTAGTGTTCAGCTCCTGTCCTGTACCCCTCCATCTTCCCCCAGTGATTTGGAATGCCTACCTATCAGAATCAAGCTTCCACAGATGTCTGGAGGCTTCTGGGCTCTTTAAGAGGTTCCATCCCTCTACTCACCCTATGCCAATATCACATAGTCTTAATTTTCATAACTGTACATGTGGACTATGGGCTATGGAAGGCCAAGTCTTTGAAGATTTTTTTTTTTTTTTTTTTTTTTTTTTTTTGGTTTTCGAGACAGGGGTTCCTTGTTTTGCTTGGGAGCTGGTCCTGACCCTTGCTCTGTAGACCAGGCTGGCCTCGAACTCACAGAGACCCCCCTGCCTCTGCCTTCCAAGTGCTGGGATTAAAGGCGTGCGCCACCAATGCCTGGCTTGAAGCATGTTCCTAATTAATAATGTTTTGATTATGCGTTATGCTGTGCTTTTCCATATAATCTTTGGATTAGCTTGTAAAGGGCCAGGTAAAAATCCTGTCAGAAATATGATTAGAATTACATTGAATTCACAGATGAATCCCCCATTCAAACTTTGTCTTCCCACAACGGGAACAGCTTCTGATGTTTATAGAAAGGGCGTCTTGTAAATGTTTTCAAAGTAAATCTTAGAGGCCAATACATCAGGCTCACAGATAACTTGCATATTCTTATTATTTAACAACTATCAGTAAATTTCTTCTTCACTGACTCATTTTAATGCCTGAGATCTTCAGTTCTCAGCTGGGATACCAGCATGGGACTGATCCAGACCTCAGGAACATTGGTTTCAGTGAGGAAACCTCAGAAATCTACGGGACCTCCTGTAGTAGTTCAGTCCTTATCCCTAGCATAGATGTGGACTTTGGGAGCCCATTCCACATAGAGGAGTACTCCATGAGCCAAGACACACGGGGGTGGGTCTAGGCCCTATCCCAAAAGATATGATAGACTCTGATAACACCCTATGGAAGGCCTCACCATCCAGGGGGAGCAGAAGGGATATGTGATAGGTAGGGTTACAGTTGGGCGAGGGGGTGGTAGGGGAGGACGAGAGGGAGAGGAAACTGGGATTGTCATGTAAAACAATCTTGTTTCTAATTCAAATAAAAAAAATCTGCAAAAAACCCACAAAAACTTCAGTTCTACAATTGCATCCTTCCACTAAATATGATCCGTAACTTGATTCCTGAAAAACAGGCAGAGAAACGACCGAGAAAGACCCTGCTTTGGCTCAGGGATGGAGAGTGATGTAGTCAGTCTTCAGTACTGCAGTGGTTCTGGCTGGTGTCCCCCGGCTACGCGGAGAACTACAAGTCCCGGCAGGCCGTGCGGCACCGGCCTCGGTGAGCGCCGGGGTGGCGGAGGCACGGTTTCCTGGAGTTTGCGATCAGGACTGCGGCGGTTCTGCTTCCCTTCCCTCGGGGTGAGTAGCACCCGCGGACGGAGACTCGGCTTCCAGATCGCGCAGCACGTGGAGCGCGGGGCTGCGGGTGCAGTTGTGCTCCCCACGGTCTGATCCCAGGCTTTGCAGCCCTAGCGAAGCTGGATGACCTTGTCACCCTAGGAGGCGCGATCACGTGGTTCAGGTGACTCAGTGCCCCGCCCCCCTCCTCTGCGACTCTGTAGCTCGGTGCCCTAGCGGTCGTTAGCGAGGACTGGTCACTTTGGCGGCCCAGCCTTCCGTGCACCGGAGTAGGCGGAGGTGGAGAGGGGCTGCGAGTGGCTCCTCCAGAAGCATTCACACCTTGGTGGCCTTGTGGGCTCTCACGCAGAGGTAGCTGGGGCGATGAGCGTGGAGTGTTGAAGAGCAAGGGGTTCCCCCAGAGATCAGGTCACCTAGGCTTGCAGCAGGCGCCAGTCTACTTCTGATCCCCTAGTCCAATTTCCAGATGACCAGCCGATTTGTGGAGAGAATCCTGTAGAAGACACGTGGTACACGTGGTACAGCTCTGTCTCAGACTTGAGTGGCAATTACTTGCCACCAAGTGGGAAGCTTAGCGGTTAGTAGGCGCTCAAGAAATAATTGCTGAGTTGATAGGAATTTAGATTTTTGTCCTGTCACAAATTTTCTTTAAGCGTCTTCTTGTCCACTGTAGTTCTCAGGCTGTATAGGGTGCATCAGAATTGTGTGGAGGCTTGTTGCTATACAGAATTCTGCCCACTCCCCTCCAAACTTCTGATTCTAGTATGGTATTTGAAGTCTGGAATTGGCATGTTCAACATGAATCCTGGAGATGTGATGTTGCTGTCCCGGGGACCATAATTCGAACGCTACTATTTTATAGGATAAATCCATAAATTCTTCATATTTGGTTATGGTTGTGTTTTTTTTTTCTTTTTGTTTTGTCTTTGTAAGCTTCACTATTGTACTTGTACCACCCCTGGGAGTTGCTTTACACAGTGCACCCCCACCCCTATTACGTTACATATGCATATTCATGTAGTTTCGTCACTTCTGTCATTTTTTTTCTCCTGGGTTATATCATAATTAAGTTTGCTGTGCTGTTTACTTGGTATTCAACAGGCCTGTCGTGTGAGATTTTTACCTCTGCTGAGAGAATTTGCATTTCATTTCTTTCCAAATATACCCCACTCCCACCCCTCGCCCCATTTTTGTCAGAGAAGGGACTGGTGAAAGAGAAGAATGCTTGGCTTTGTCATCCATTTGTCTTTCTTAACCCCAATAGGTCTCCTAGGTCTCAATGTCCACCACAGAGAGCCACTGGCCACTGCAGGACCTAGGCAATGATTTGTTCATATCCGCCTGTAGTTCTGATGGTGGAACAGAAATCCCTGGGTCCAAGTTTTGCTCTTAGCCCTTTGGGAAGTTCCACTTCCTTGTCTGCAGAGGGAAACTCTAGAGATAGGCTCCCGAGAATCTAGTTGTATCACATGACTTATTTATAGAAGCACCATTGGGAGGCTCACTCACTCCTCTTATCTGCTGCTTGCTCTTTGCTCTTGGCCTTACCTTGTTAGTCCCCTGAAGATGGATGCCCCAACATTACAGAGGAACTTTGGGTGACTGTCTAGGCAGCGAGATGTCTCTGTCAATTCTAGAGTTTATATATTATCCTTCTGTGGTCTTTGATGGGGTTGAAGACTGATAGTTATGGTTATGGTTTCCCTTAGTTAGGATAAAAGATAAGTTACATATAAGACTTTAGATTCACAATGATAGGATAGATGATAGAATATTTTCTTTAAACATTGCTAAATGTTAATGGACTAAATATTGTAATTATAGTTCTTGCTTAATAATTACTTTGTTATATATTTTACTATGTTAAAGTTAACTCCCTCCCCTTTTTTCCCCCCTGAGACAGGGTTTCTCTGTGGCTTTGGAGACTGTCCTGGAACTAGCTCTTGTAGACTAGGCTGGTCTTGAACTCACAGAGATCCTCCTGCTTCTGCCTTCCGAGTGCTGGGATTAAAGGCGTGAGCCACCACCACCCGGTAAAACCCTTCTTTTTATTTAGACAGAAAAGAGGAGATGTTGGGGAATGTCCTTTTGTGTATATGTTTGTCTTATTGGTTAATGAATAAAACACTGATTGGCTGATTGGCCAGGCAGGAAGTGACATAGCTGGGCAGAATCAGAATGTAAACAGGGACAAACAGGAAATCTTCTCTTCTCTTCTCTGCTGAGACACATGTAGCAGGTAAAGGAGTTGCAGGTCCGGTAAGCCAAGACCACGTGGAAATACATGGGTTATTTATGGGTTAACAACTAAGTCAGAGCTAGCCTATAATAAATCATACCCACAAGGCCAACAGCTTTATAATTAATATAGTGTATTCGTGTTACTTAGGGGCAGAGAAGGGTGGCAGGACCCTAGCTGGGCCAAGAAAGCTCGAGTTACAGTCCCCCTTTCCTAAGATGAGCTGAATGGAAGAAGGTTTCTCTTCTGTGTCTGGGTGAGATTTATTTCCCTTATCTGCTGAGGAACCTTCACATTGGTCGGGTATTCCTTAATTTAATTAGTATTGATCTGAGCAACTTCTAGCCATTACACACTAAGTGTAGTTAAAACTCTTACTTTTTTTTTTTTTCCTTTGAGGCAGGGTTTCTCTGGGGCTTTGTAGGCTGTCCTGGAACTAGCTCTTGTAGACCAGGCTGGTCTCAAACTCACAGAGATCCGCCAGCCTCTGCCTCTCAAGTGCTGGGATTAAAGGCGTGTGCATTGAACTTTGCCACGATTTGTATGAGCCTCCTCAGGTCAACTGTCCCTGGGTATTTACTCATCTAATTTGTTCTTCTCTAGAGTATTTTTGGGTCTTTTCTGATTTGGAGAACATTCTAGAAAAAAAAATAGTGCTTTTTTGCTTCCTAATCTATGGGAAATGAATGGGAGGTAGCTAGGGTCACTTTTGGGGAAAATTGAATTGGCTCCCTAAGTGACTTCCCTCAGTGGGGTTTTCTAGTTCACTGGGGGGGGGGCGAGGCGGGGTAAATGGGGTGTAATTTCAAGTCTGTATTCTTGGACTGTGGCCTGGGAAGGGGGCAGCCAGTACATAGTAGCTGCTGGAAAGGTCATTTACAGGAAGTGCTTGATTTCATATTTAGTTCTGTCTTTGAGATGGACATTTCTGTTTGACCATCAACTTCCAACTGTCCAACTTCTTGATGTATGGTGTCTTGATGATCTGGGTGTCTCTTCTGGCCCAGGGACAAAAGTTCATTCTTCCCATTGATTTGACAATTAAAGAGCCACGCCAGTGCTTCAGGCGCTTATGTGTTATTTCTAGGGAGGTATATTGCTTGATCTTTGACATGCTATTGATTTCCAGCGCTGCAAACACTGCCTTCCACAGGCTTCGCTCTTTGGGGGTTGGTAGCAGGTCAGAAGTGATAGTTTCTGTCTGCAGCAGCTGTATTTACTTCAAGCCATTCGTAACGACTTAGTGTCTTGAGGTCTAAGCATCCCTATCAAAGAGATATGTCATTAAAAAAAAATGAAAGATGGGACTGGAGAGATGGCTTATGGATGTGAGCTCAGATGTGTTTTGTATCCAGGGGTTTTGAGTTTGGTTCCTAGAATCCACATTGGGTGGCTCACACCTGCATAACTCCAGTTCTAGGGGAATCTGATCTCCATGGGCACCCGAACCCACAAAAACACACACACCGATACACATGGAGACACATACACACAGAGAGAGACACACAGAAATACAGACACACACACACAGACACATATACATAGACACACACAGAAACACACACATACACAGAAACACACACACACACACACACACACACACACACACAGAGAGAGAGAGCGAGCGAGAGAGAGAGAGAGAGAGAGAGAGAGAGAGAGAGAGGCTAAAATAATCCTAAAAAGAAAAAAAGGACTGGCTGAACATTTGCAGTGGGCAGGCTCATTCATATCATTTTTTGCCACTTTACTGGCTGAGCCACCTGGGACTGAATACTCACTCTGTGCCTTTGTGTTCTCTGTATACTGGAGAGGATGATGCTTGCCTCATCTCACTGTGCTGTATGAAGTATTAACACAGTGAGTGTACCATGTCATGGGATTCAAAGTGTGTGCCACTCAACCCCACATGTGTGCAGAGGACTCTGTAAAGGTTAGTTATTGCTAATAATTATCTAGTGGTTAAGTTTTAGGCTCTTAGTAGCCTCAGACCTCCTGCAAGGTGTGTGGCCTTATGAGAGGTGATGCAAATGAAAGTCAAGGCAAGTAAACAGAACAGACAGGTGATTCATTAGCAGAGGCCTTAATAATGAACGGTGTTTTTCATCGACAGACATATTTCATGCATGACAGGCCTTTTAAGATACCCCGAGGGAAGCAGCTCATTTATATGTTGAAGACTCTCTGACACCGTATGGAAAACTCCAACTCCAATCTATTTAGACACAGTTTGGCTCTTATATCATCTATTTTATGTATTTCAATTCCTACCACTTTTATTACTGAGGACATTTGTTTGAAAATGGGATTGCCTCCCTGTTCCTTCGATACTCAGAGGTGGTCTCAAGGGTAGGGGAGACTGCAGTCCATCAGGGGCTGCTGTGGTGGATGGTACAACAGGAGGATGGGGTTCAGAGGAACACAGGTTGGAAAGTAGTATGGGGGTAATGGGGAGAGAAAGACTATTGAGTTGGAGGTCTGGGGTATATTCATCTAGAGACCTGTGTTACTGGTTCTACACAGGCCTCATGGGGGAATGTAGTTGATCCATTCCTTGATTAATTCAGTTAGTAAATGTTTTTGGAGCACTTACGGTGTGCTAGACTAAAGCCTGGCATATTACGACCGCATTTGGCCAGGCCCATTGCTTTGCATGCCCTTTTTAGTTGCCTTGCACTAGAATACAGAGTTGAGTAGTTGCCTCAGAGGTGGGGTATCCCCTAAAGCTAAAAGTAGTTACGGTATGGCCCTTTGTAGAAGAGCTTTCTGGCCTCTGTTCTAGGCAGAGAGAACAGCAAAATGAAACTCTTGGAGTGCAATGTGTGGCATGTTGGAAAACTAGGAAGTTGGAGTAGAGCGAGTGGAAAGGCCGGAGATCTTTTGAGAAATCTGGAAGGCAGATCTGTTAAGACTGGCTCTTTGTGAGTGAGTTGAGATCATTCGGATAGCTGAGTGCACAGACATGAATAGTTGGACTTAGGTTTCTACATACGAATCAGCTCAGGGAAACTGAGTGTGGTGGTGAGATTGAGGCCAACCTTGTCTACATAGTGATATCCAGGCTAGCCAGGGTTACATAGACTCTATTTCAAATCAGTCAGCCAACCAACCAACCAACCAACCAACCAACTAAAAGAAAAAAAAAAAACAGCAAAAACAAAACAAAACAAAAAACCTTACTGGGCGAAGAGAATTGTTCTGTCTAATAGCCGACTTATGGTGTTTATCTCTGATTTGGTCTTGAGGTCTTAGAGCAGTGATTCTCAACCTGTGGGTCATGATCCTTTCATAGCTACTGCCTGAGACCATTGGAAAATACAGATATATATATATATTATGATTCACAGCAGGAGCAAAATTAAAGTTATGAAGTAGCAATGAAAATAATTTTATGATGGGGGGATCACCACAAATGAGGAACTGTATCAAAGGGTCACAACATTAGGAAGGTTGAGAACCACTGTCTTAGAGGAATGTCTGTGTCTTAAGTTAGGGTTTCTTTCTTTTCTTTTTTTTTTTTTTTTTTTTTCCGAGACAGGGTTTCTCTGTGTAGCTTTGGAGCCTATCTTGGCACTCGCTCTGGAGACCAGGCTGACCTCGAACTCAAATAGATCCGCCTGCCTCTGCCTCCCGAGTGCTGGGATTAAAGGCGTGCGCTACCAATGCCCGGCTTTTAAGTTAGGGTTTCTATTGCTGTGAACAGACACCATGACCATGGCAACTCTTATAAAGGAAAGCATTTAATTGGGGCTGGCTTACAGTTTCAGAGGTTTAGTTCATTATCTTCATGGCTGTGTGCTCTCAGACAAGTTGAAGAAAGTGTGTTATTGAGGGTGAGCTTTGAGATTTCAGAAGCCCACACTCCTGCCTCCTGTCTGAGATCAGCATGTGAGCTCTCAGCCACTGCTCTAGCACCATACCTGTCTGCCTGCTGCCATGCTGATGATCCTGATGATCGTGGACTAACCCTCTGAAACTGTAAGCAAGCCCCCAATTAAATGTTTCCTCTGCAAGTTGCTTTGGTCTTGGTGTCTCTTCAAAGTGGTGTGTCTTTTTCTAAGGCAGCTGCAAAAGGAAAGACAATGGAACTCGATGAAAAGTATCATTGAGTCCATGAAAAGTCAAGAAAGGTGAGAAAGTGACTGGAGGGATGGATTGGCAGTTAAGAGTTCTTGGCCAGGCATTGGTGGTGCATGCCTTTAATCCCAGCACTCGGGAGGTAGAGGCAGGTGGATCTCTGTGAGTTCGAGGCCAGCCTGGTCTCCAGAGCGAGTGCCAGGATAGGCTCCAAAGCTACACAGAGAAACCCTGTCTCAAAAAACCAAAAACCAAAAAGCAAAACAAAAAAAAATGTTCTTGCTGCTCTTTCAGAACACTGGCATGGTTCCTGGCACCCATGTCTAATGGCTCATAACTGCCTGAAACTCTGGCTCCAGGGACTCTGAACTCCTCTTCTATCTTCCATGGGCATGTGAACACATACAGATTCGTACATATGCACATAAGTAAAATAAAATAAATCTTTAAAAAAGAAAGGAGAGAAGCAGAACAGGTAGGAAAAATAGGAAGGGTTGGAAGAATTGCAATACAGATGTATAAGCTATGTTGAATGTAAGCCTAGAAAGCCAGTTATATGCTCTTTAAAAAATGGTATAAAGTCTAAGTTGAAAGTAAAAGAATGGAAAAAACTGTGCTTTGTGTATATTTAAAGAAAAGCCTGTGTCTATATTATGAAGCATGAGTCAAAATAGACTCCAGAGAAATTGAAGACAAGGCTGTTTATAGCAGTAGCTTCCTTGCAGAGAGAAACCGAGTGGCAGAACGGGGCCAGAGCAGAAACTTTATGAGGTAATGAGTGGCATCTTGCTGCTAGTCTCTGAAGTCTTTGCACTGACAGAAGGCTTGGTGATGTTCCTTTCTGTCTGGGGTCTGTCCCTTGGCATCTGCTGCTGGGTCAAGGGCTTTAGTTGGATTCAAAGTACTCAGGGATTGCTGAGGAGGTAGTTCAGTGGATGCAGTGTCCCAAAGAATGTCTGTGTAGCCACCTGGTGAGTTGAGGTATGAGTAAAGAGGGTAGGGTCTTTCTGTCTAGCGGTGTAAGTTTGGTACCCAATAGGACTCCCAGGACTGTATGTGGACAGAGTAGCATCAGTCATGCCCCAGGAATACAGTCTAAACTATGTGATTGTAGTAAACATTTTGACTGTCAGCTAGATACGGAGGAACTACTGACTGCTTCTGCCTAGCTACCCTTTTGGCAGGGGCCTGCCTACTTCCAACCTGTGCATCAAGGCTAATGGTGCCCGTAGCTGTGTGCTGTTGTAATACTAGTGACAAGTGCCAATAGTGAGCATTCTTTCCTGCTTTTCCTATGTAAAAAAAAAACACCCACTTCTGGATCCTTTATCCCTTGGCTCTCTGATTCCTACCACTTCCGGCAGCTCCGATAGTGTGTTATGTACCTTTTTGCTTCTCTGCCCCACCCTAGAGTGTAAGCTCCACATAGGCAAAAGCTGTAGGTTGTTCACCTCTTCCACTGTAGCTAGAACAGCACCTGTACTGCCAAAGGAAGGACACTGGGAGCTGATTTGTACCAGGTGCTACACTAAGTGCTTTATGTAATTATTTCACTTCATCTTAATTTTGAGGTTAGGTATTGAAGAAACTGAGATCCCATGAGATTAAGAAAATGACACAAGGTCATACAATGTGAGTGGCAGAGCTGGGATTTGAATTCTGGACTGACACTCTGTGAAACCCTTAATTGCTAACCTTTCTTGACCTTCTTTTTTTTGCACAGGGTCTGGGGACATGGCCAGAAAGGCTCTCAAACTTGCTTCATGGACCAGTGTGGCTCTTGCTGCCTCTGGTGTCTACCTCTACAGCAACAACTACTTGGACCCTAATGACTTTGGCGCTGTTCGGGTGGGCAGAGCTGTTGCTACGGTAGGTTTTTCTCCTTTCAGGGTAGCATAGGAGTGACGGCATTACTGTAGGTGTTCCATTGGTTCGGCAGGCAGGCGTGCTGACATATATGGAAATGCAGGCGTGTCAGCTCTGTCTTCAGAGCTGTGGGGCTCGGATGTGCACCCTCACAGGCCTTCAGTCCTGTAGCAACCCCTGCCACTCTGCAGTTGAACACAACAAGGTCGTACCAGGTCCCTGCTCTGAAGCCTTAGAGGCTCCGTGTCTTACAGTAGTGATGACTCAGAGGGGCAGTGCTCCTGGGAAAATGCCAAGGACAGAGACTTTGTGGGAAGAAGACTTTGACAGTTCAGTTCTGTCTGGCTTCTTTGAGTTTCCTGTCTGCTTCAAGGTTAACTCTTTGGGGAGGCCTTCCTTACCACAGGGTCCTACCGCCATGATGTTCTGGCAAGAGTGTGCGGCCCAGCGAACATGGACTGAACACTCAGAAATCAGGAGTCAAAAGAAATCCATCTCTAGCCAGGCATGGTGGCGCATGCTTTTAATCCCAGCACTTGGGAGGCAGAGGCAGAGGCAGGTGGATCTTTGTGAATTCGAGGCCAGCTTGGTCTACAAAGTGAATTCTAGGACAGCCAGAGCTCTACAGACAAACCCTGTTTCCAACTCCTCCCTGCAAATCCTTCTTTAGAAAGACAAACTTCTGTCAGCAAACTTGATCTCACTCCAGCGAGCTAATCTGAGGAGTTGGCACTTACATGTTGATTGTCTGGGGCTGGGAGGATTTCATCCATCTCCAAGTAGGGACTCTGATTTGAATATTTGACTTTAGATGTTTTCTCTAGTGGTTCAATATCAATATACTCTTGGTGTTATATCTCTTTAGAACCTTGTTTCAGATTTATTTATTTTATATCTATGGATGTGTTGCTTGCATGTGTATGTGTGTTTGTATGCATGTGCAGGCCTGGCACCTTTGGAGGTCAGAAAAGGATGTCAGATCCACTGGAACTAAAGATACAGATGGTTGTGAGCCACCAGGTGTTGGGAACTGGAACCAAATTAGGATCTCTGCAAGAGCAGGAAGTCAACTTAGCCATTGACCACCTCTACAGTACTCACCATGGCTTCTTAACTCTTCTTAACTCTGGGAGCTCTTCTCCCAGACACCACAATGCAGTCTTTGCAGAATAGATTGCCAGCCACACACATCATGCTCTCTCTCCTTTGTTGCTGCTGGTGAGCATAGATAACAGTTGCTGTTGCTCCCCCCATGCGGATATGAATCACGATGTAGCTTGTTTAGTTATTTCCTCAGTGTTATCAAGTGTTCTCAGAGGGAGGCCATTGACTTGGTGCCTGTCCTCAAGGGGAAACCGAGTTAAAGAATCAAATAGGCAAACAGGCTTTGGAATAGCAAGCTATGGGATATGAAACCATTTCTAACTGTTTACCTAGTATCTTTTGGGGCCCACCATTTTCTTTTATGTTTTGAGGGGTGAAAACAGACTGTTCCATCTAGACCCAGCTTTGAAGGAGCCTCTGATCATGGAGTGCACACATGGATGCATTCAAAAGCAGTCTAAGGCCAGGCACACATCAGGAGTGCTGCCATGGTCAGATGTAGGAGCCAGCACTGGGGCTTGGGAGTCAGGATGAATAGTCTGAGGAAGCAGGATTTGACTGGCACCTCAGGGATTTGAATAGGCAGAAGGAAGGCAGGGAAATAACAGTGGGCACTTTTATAAAACCAGCCACTAAGATATACATTCTTTCCTTTTCTGAGACAGGGTTTTTCTGTGTAACAGCTCTGGCTGTCCTGGAACTCACTTTTTAGACCAGGCTGGCCTTGAACTCACTGGGGTACACCTGCCTCTGCCTCCCGAGTGCTGGGAGCTACACAGAGAAACCAGGTCTGAAATATAAAACAAAACAACAAAAAAGGGAGTCTTGAGTTTCAACTTAGAAAGGTGGGCAGCCCCAGCAGTGAGCTGTCCATTCTCTGAAGACCTCTGGTCGGATCATCCTGGTCTATTCAGTGAGTAAACCTTGCTGACAGCTGGTGCTCAGCACCTACAGGTGAATGGAATTAGTACAAATGGACACTTTTGTTTTGGTGGGGAGGGCGTTTGGAGACAGGTTTTTCTATGTAGCCCTGACTGTCCTGGAACTGGCTCTGTAGACCAGGCTGGCCTCGAACTCATAGATCCGCCTACCTCTGCCCTCGAGTGCTGGGATTAATGGTGTGCTCCACTGCTGCCTGGCTGCAAACAAACACTTCTGAATATAAGTCTGAAAACATTGTATCTAAGGTACTTAGTTACTCAGTCTGAAAAGGAAAGTTTGAGCTCAGGGTTCCTCCATGCTGGAAATGTGTTGGAAGCCTGTGTTTTCTGATTGATGACTGTGCATAAGGGCCCCTCAAGGGAGGGTTTTGGCCAGAGGATCTAGAATGGAAACTCAAATTTAACAGCATCTGTTTGGTTAGTATTTACTGACTGCCTACCTGTGTAGTGTAAAAGATGCTGGAGAGCAGTAGTAAGTAGGAAGGGTCAGCCCTTCAATTTAGACAGCTCACAAACAAGGAAGCAAATGGGCTAGTGAGTTGGTTATGATCAACTGCGGACAGTTCTGGTGTGTGCCCACAACTTGAGATTAGACCTCTTTGGATGAGTGTCAGTCATGGTCACCCCTGAAGGCCAGGAAGGAACAATCCAGCTAAGATCTGGGGGCTGAGCATCCAAGGGGTGGGACCAGCTACTCTTTTTTTTTAATTACTATTTTTAATTCATTTTATATGACAACCACAGTTCCCTCTTCCTCCCCTCCTCCTGCTCCCCTTACCTCTCCCCACCCTACCCCCATCTACTCCTCAGAAAGGGTAGGGCCTCCCATGGGGAGTCAACAAAGCCTGGCACATTATATTGAGGCAGGACCGAGCCCCTCCCTTCTGCATTGAGGTTGAGCAAGGCACCCCTCCATATAGAATGACCTCCAAAAAGCCAGCTCATGCACCAGGGATAGAACCTGGTCCAACTGCCGGGGGCTCCACAAACAGACCAAGCCACACAACTGGTCACCTACATTCAGAGGGCCTAGTTCGGGACCAGCTACTGTTATATATCCAGCAGGTAGTGTGTGGGTCTCCTGGCTTTGGCAGAGGTGTGATATTTCATGTCCTCAGCTTTCTCCTCCTTTGGTTCACAGACAGCTGCCATCAGTTATGACTATCTCACCTCCCTGAGGAGTGTCCCATATGGCTCAGAGGAGTATTTGCAGCGCCGATCCCAGGTAAGGGACCTGTGGGACCCATCAGAGCTGAGCCAGGATGGGCTATGTCTGAAGAGTGGGAGCAGCCAATTTACTTCCTAAGGAAAGTTGGGCAGAGGACAGAGTGGGCATTGAAGTAGTGGCCACTGGCCGTGGGATTTGGGATAAAGGGAATGGAAGACCACCTGCTCCTTCCTATGCAGGTGCCTTAGTACCTGCCATCCCATGTCAAACTGGGTCTTGCTTACTGTGGTAGTTTGAAAGAAGAATGGGTCCCCTAAAGGGAGTGGCACTATTAGGAGGCGTGGCTTTGTTGGAGTGGGTGTGGCTTTGTTGGAGGAAATGTGTCACTGTGGAGGTGGCCTTTGAAGCCTCATATATGCTCAAGCTATGCTCAGTATCTCAGTTCACTTCCTGTTGCCTGCGAGTCAAGATGTAAGAACTCTTACATGGTGCTCTCTCTCAGCTCCATGTCTGTCTGTCTGCTTGCCGCCATGGACTGAACCCTTGAATCTATAAACCAGCCCCAGTTAAATGTTTTCCTTTATAAGAGTTGCTGTGGTCATGGTGTCTCTTCACAGTAATAGAAACCCTAACTAAGACACATACCAAGGCTATAAAGTACTGTTGGGGAGGCTATTTCATGTTTCTGGTGACAGCAGGGATGTAGGCTGCTTTCAGAGGGATTAATAACTTCTAAGCTGTGTTAGGCTGAAAGAGGTTAGTTGTTGTTTTTTTTTTTTTTCCCTCTGAAGGCCATCGGAGCCTTTTTTTTTTTTTTTTTTTTTTTCCCCAAGACAGGGTTTCCCTGTGGCTTTGGAGGCTGTCCTGGAACTAGCTCTTGTAGACCTAGTCTCGAACTCACAGTGATTCATCTGCCTCTGCCTCCCGAGTGCTGGGATTAAAGGCGTGCGCCACCACCTCCTGGCCATCGGAGCCTTTTGTAGGAGTAGAGCTGTGACCTCATACACATCCTCAGTCAGGATGTGGTAGCTGATGCAGCTGTATTAGAGATACCAGGGAGATGGTGGATCAAACACAAGGTCAAACAGAGAGAGCTGGACAGTAGACTGGCGCGTCTTTGCTCAGGTGGTTTCCGAGCTGGACTGTCCAGTTAGTTTGGGCTCAGTGTGGACACCTCTCCTCTGTGCCGCTCTCCTTCTGGCATCCTTTGTGGCTGGGCTAGTTAATGAAAACATGAATTTAAACTTTTTATTATGCACATTTTAACTATTCACAAAAGTAACAGAGAACAGAGCAGACTGTGATGACCTCCCCTTTCCTCCCATGGAACTGTCCAGCCTGAGGAATGATCGATTTGTCATTCCTCTCTTTTAGTTACTCACTCTGAAGTATTTAAATGAACCTCAGGTGCCATATTGTTTCATGTAGAAATTCTTCAGTACATGTCTCTAATAGAGAAAGACCTTTGAAAAACCACGGCCATAATATTGTGGTCCCCTGTAATGAGACGAGCAATTCCACAGTACCTTCTGGTTCATGTCCAGATCACCCTTCTCCCGGAAGTGTCTTTTTAAAGTATTTATTTACATATGAGTATGTTTTTGTGTGTGTGTGTTGTGGTGTTTGTGTATACATTATGAGTATGTGTGAGCTGTGTGTGTGTGTACATTGTGTGTGTGAGCTGTGTGTGTGTATACATTATGAGTATGTGTGAGCTGTGTGTGTGTGTACATTGTGAGTATGTGTGAGCTGTGTGTGTGTACATTGTGAGTATGTGTGAGCTGTGTGTGTATACATTATGAGTATGTGTGAGCTGTGTGTGTGTGTTCATTGTGTGTATGTGTGAGCTGTGTGTGTATTCATTGTGAGTATGTGTGAGCCGTGTATGTGTACATTGTGTGTACCACTCTACCACTCTTTGCTTGATTTCCTTATGCCAGGTCTCTTGCTGAACGTGGAGTGAGGCTGGCGATCTGCAAGCCCCAGCCATCCTCCTGTCTCCACCATGCTCACAATGCTGGGGTTAAAGGTGTATGATGCCACGTCTGGCTTTTTACTTGGAATTTGGGAATTTGAACCCAGGTCCTTATGTTGGTACTTTTAGCAATGTCTAACATTTCATCTCTCTTCCTTTATTTTATTTTTTATTTGGTTATTCACTTGTTGTAGAGGCAGATCATTTATCCTGTAGAATTTCCACACTCAGGATTTGGCTGATTGCACCCTCAAAGTGCTATTTAATGGGAAATGCATTCAAACGACTCAAAATTCAAAATACACAATATTTGAAACAGACAAAATGACCCTTGTTCCTCAGGTACCCAATTTCCCTGCCTGTAGGCAATCATCATTTCTTGTGTATCTTTCCAGAGCTATCTTCCTGTAATTTAATCACTCTGTCTTTATTTCTGCCATAGTTGATAGTTAGTTACACATTTTCTCTCAGACTGTTGCTTCTCTTACATTGGAGAGGGGGGCTCTCGATTTGCATATTTAATCTTCAGCAATAATGCCTAGGATGGGGGCTGGAGAGATGGCTCAGTGGTTAAGAGCACTGGCTGCTCTTTCAGAGGACCTGGGTTCAATTCCTAGCACCCACATGGCAGCTCACAGTTGTCTGTAACTTCAAGTTCTGACAGCCTCACACAGATATACATGCAGGCAAAATGACCAATGCACATAAAATAAATTTAAATAAATTATAAAAAAGGAATGCCTATGATGGAGTGGATTTAATATCTGTTTCAGTGTCAGGTTATGCCCTTGCCTTTGGAGAGGCCACGGAAAAGAGTCTTAAGGTTTTCATTTAGGAATCCCGAGTTTGTAACTTGGCTTTGGGAAATTCATCTAGCCCTGTGGAGTGGCTGTTTTCCTTGTTTGTGACTAGAGATGGTTCTTCTGCCCACCAAGGATTATGTAGTCACCACTGGAGTCAGTGAAAGATAAAGCAGATGGGAAGGTAAGTCAGAGGTCTCCTAGCAGGAGGAGGTGCAGGAGGTGCTTCATGAGGGCAGACCTGGTGTACGGTGTGAGTTTCCAGGTCTGCAGTGCAAATGCAAATACCTGGGACATAGCTGGTTCTGAATAAAGGTTTGAACAAGTAAATGAATGGCATAAAGGGTTTGTTGGAATATCTCAAAGCTCTTGTCTTTGAGGTGTGGTTACCCTTTGCTTTCCTGCGTGCCCGTTCTCCATCTATTCCAAGCTATGGCCCTTGGAATCCTCCAGCGTGACAATTCTTCAGGGATACCCGGGTCAGGACTAGGGTAAGGTTTGTCTTGGGGAATCCAAGGAGTAGGTGAGCTGTGAAGAGACTCAAGCTCTCCAGTATGTCAGTCATCTGAAAGGCAGTGATACTGCAGCTCCCCTAGAAGCTGACTGGGGAAGCTGGTGAGGAAAGTACAGCCAGGCCTTTGATGAGAAGGCAGCACGTGGTGGCTGGCTGTACCAGATAACAGAGTGTAGGCTGGTTCCTGGGAGTTGTGCCTGGGAAGGGGATCCAGCAGGCACAGAAGGGCCTGGATAAATACTGCAGGAGTGTTCTCATCATCGTGACTGATAAAGGAGTGAGCAAGGAGAGGCATCATTATCTCTCTTGTCAAGCCGGCATCTCCAGGTTCCAGAGCATGTTAGAGCCAAGGGACTAGTGAAGCAGTCAGTGACTTACTTGAAGCTCTTTCAAGGTTGGCACTGGCAGGCAGGCTTCGTGACTCACACTGCATCATGAAGGGGAAGAAGAGAAAGCACATGGTGCCTTGCTAGGCAGCTGAGGGTGTAAGAATGGGCTCTGGAGAACTGGATTCCCGATGCCTAGATGCTTATAGCTGAGGTTTGTGTGACTGGACATGTTCCTTTTGACATCCTGTCAAAATGCTGGAGGTGACAGGACAGGATAGAGTTGGTTCTGAATGAAGGATTGGACTATAGTGTGTATCCTCGTCCTAGGAACAACTTCTGGACTTTCTACCATATTGTATCCTCTCTCTCTTACACACACACAGTTGTATGAGTTTTAGGTCTTCACAAGCAGTTGATGGAGTCAATTCTGCTTGTAACAGGAATAATACAAACCCAGAGGCAGATACTGGGGTTCAAGCTGAAGATTGGAAAAGCAAAGCAGCCAAGTCCGTAGCTCTTAACTCTACCAAGATGAAATGGCAATCCTGTCTCCACAAATCCTCAGAGATAATGCTCTCCACGAATCCTCAGAGATTCCTTTCTCTGCCCAGCCATATCACTCCTGCCTCCACCTCCCTAGTGCCAGGATTAAAGGCATAAGCTCTGTAACTCTTTAGACTGATTCACTCTCATGTAACCCAGGGTGGTCTTGGACTCACAGAGATCCGCCTGCCTCTGCTTCCCAAGTGCTGGGACTAAAGGCGTGCACTACCACAGCCCAGCTTTGTTGGCTAACTAGTATGGCTGCTGGAATTAAAGGTGTGTATCACCACTGCCTGGCTGTATGACTGTGGCTACCTTTGCATTTTGATCTCCAGTGACTTTAAATCATAAACAATTAATCACTACATCTGCTGGTCCCAGATATTGATTTAGGGACGGTCTCTGGACCAGTTCTGATCATTGAGCATTATTAGGTCCAAGACATTTCTTTTGGAACTTCAGATTTCTCTTTCTGCTGGGTTGTAGGCTGTTGGCTAATTTCTACTGGCAGCCAACTTGCCACTGTGAAGAAAAAACCCATTGTGGGTGATGTTGGTGTTGAAGAGTTGGGTTATTTGAGTTCCTGTATCTAGTCGAACCTGAAGCCATTCCCTTCACTAGACTTCTCAGTTATGTCTTCTAGTAAATTCTTTTTTGTTGTTTAAGGTGATTTGCACTTAATATTAATTAAAACCAATGAGTCTTGGTAATACTTGGAACTCTTGGAGAAGAATGTCTGGGTTTGAAGCATGATTGGCATTTTGACAGGCCACAGAAAGATCAATAATTCAAGGGAAACGATGCCAAGGAGAGGTCTGTATGGTACAGGCCACTCTGGACCAGGGGCCATCTCTCCAGCCCCATTGTATTGCCTTTTTGTTTAACTCTGGACAGTC